GTAGATGAGTTTGTTTCTTAATGGGAACAGATTTGGAGAAATGTAGCATTACATCACTTGCTCACCAATGGATCCTCTGCAGTGAATGGGTGCTATCATGAGGGTGAGTAATTAATAACAGAATTTTCATTTTTGGGTGAACTAGGCCTATCCCTTTAATGATGGATTTGTTTCTTACAAACATGCAGCTTTGGGCTTTACAATGAGTAATTAGATGGACTGGAGTGGTGTGGATTGCTTATGGATTATTGTGATGTTTTTATCAGCTGTTTGGACTCTCATTCTGACGGCACCCATTCACTGCAGAGGATCCACTGGTGAGCAAGTGATGGAAAGCTACATTTCTCCAAATCTGATGAAGATACAAACTCATCTACATCTTGGATGGCCTGAGGGTGAGTACATTGACAGCAAATTTCTTAATATTCAAATTCTATTGAATATTTCTTAATATTCTTAATTCTCAATATTTTCTTGTTTAACCAACACCAGCCAAACTACCAAACCAGCCTAGAACAGCATTAAACCTCATAATTTGCAAGTCTGTTCTGGTAGGACAATAAAGCAAATGCATTTAACAATATGCATACTTAAGACAGCAAAATAAAAGCTTATAAGTCCAATCAAGCTCTACGGTATTTTGGAACAAAAACACTTGCCATTTTGTACACTCAAAAAAAAAATTGGTGTAGAAACCATTTTCACTCAGAAATTGCTAATAAATTTCACAATTAATTGCAAAGAATTGGCAAGTAACACATTTAATTAAACATTACATTTTGAATTAGAAAGAAGGTGAAAGAAATAATATGATCTTTCACTCTAAAAAATGCTGGGTTGTTTCAACCCAATGTTGGGTCAAATATGGACTAACCCAATTGTTGGGTTAAAAAGCTAATTTAAAAATGTAACCAAAATTTAACCCAACAGTTGGGTTAGTCCATATTTGACCCAACATTGGGTTGAAACAACCCAGCATTTTTTAGAGTGTTGTTTTGAAATTAATACATTTCCATGTTTGTTTTTAAGGACTTTTTTGTTTATTTTTGCATGATATACAATTTTTATATTGCATTTGGGTTACGTAACATCTACGTTTTGAAGATAAACCAGTTAAAAAACAACTTTGGCTGGATCATAGTTCAGCTAGTTGGTGCACATTCATTGCATGCTATTTTTGCAATCAGGATGCATGTGTGCATGTGTGAATGGAATTTTTTCTGGGGGAAAAAGTGATCAAATATGACTGGCACCATGAAAAAGTTTATCTTTGAGTACTGTTGCTGTTAATGGTTGGTGACTATTGCCAGTAAATATTTCATTCAAGTTGATTTGTTTACTCTGCCAGAAACACCATGCAGGCTACACTGAAGAGTCTGCTGTCCCCTGAAACACCCTCTAGACTGATTCAGTTGGAAATTTTCTCCGCATTCTCTCCGTCTGGGTTCAAAGAAAACACAGGTGCACCCATGAACATCTGGTGAGTCTGAAAACACCACAAAACATGTCAAGGTCTGCTGGGAACGACCACGGTGAAGGACGCCTGGATGACAACGTGATGTGAGCTACATCCTACTCCCTAGTGTAAGGTACAGTACACACTGAGTGTCACTGACAACAACTGACTTCCTCCATCTGGATAAAAGAAATAAGAAAACATTAAAAAAAATTAAAATAAAAATTATAAACTAAAAATCAAAATGAAAACTGAAAATATAAAAATAAATGCTAATAAAAATTATAGTATATAACAGTATATAAATAATACTAAAACAACACTGTCAAGAACATGTTTGATTCTTATTTAACACAAAAAACAATGCGATAAGAATTATTTTTTGTTTAAAGAAAATTAAGCCTGTTTTCAGCTACATTCATATTTTTGCATTCTGACATTATTTTTCACAAATAAGCAAATTTTAAACCAAAAAATTCTGATTACTGTAATACAAAAATAAAAATCGCAAACTTGTGAGCTATATATATATATATATATATATATATATATTTTTGAGAGATTACATATATATATATATATATATATATATATATATATATTCTTGACAGTTCAACTATATGTATATCTAGCTCTGTAAATTATAAATTAGCAACTGAAGAAATTAATTAGTGATAATCAAAGAAAATTCTACAATATTGCTTGTGAAGTGCATTGTAAGCAATATAATGTACACAATAGTCACACATACTGTAGACTTTAATAAAGACTATGAACAAACAAGTAAATGATGAGCTCTCAAAATAAACATATAAACAGAAATGAAGACAAAATAACAATAGCAGCAGCAGCACAAATAAAGTCAGCAAACAGCAGATCAATAATCCTTTAAAGGGGTCATATGATGCGATTTCAATTTTTCCTTTCTCTTTGGAGTGTTACAAGCTCTTGGTGCATAAAGAAGATCTGTAAAGTTGCAAAGACTAAAGTCTCAAATCCAAAGAGATATTCTTTATAAAAGTTAAGAGTCAGCCACGCCTACCTAAAACGGCTCGTTCTAACACGCTTCCACATATCTACATCACTATGTGGGAAGATTTGCATAACGCCGCCCAAATGTTCACGCAAAGAAAGAAGGCGTAACTTTGATTCTCGCTGTAGTATTGTTGGCGCTGCAACCATGTCGTGAAGACGCTGTGTGCTTCGTTGTGAAAGCGAAACTACTTATTACTTTATCTTCCAAAAGAGGACGATATCCACTTCGTCATGCCCACACATTTCATTACACCAAATAATGTTCTTTTTAGCAGCATCATATGACCCCTTTAACACTAACCGCATAATTTACTCAAACTCCATTTGATTCACGCTGCAATGCATGCTGGGAGCTCACAAACCATTAATAAATTAGCAATACTGGTCGATATGAAATTGTTTGCACAACACTGTCAGACTGTTTGAACAAAAATTTGTTCGTCTAGGATGTGTCTTTAAGTAGATTCACATAATTTCAGGTCTGAGACTTAAAAAAGGCCGGTGTCAGGGATTTTAAAAAGTTGCTTTTTTTTACAGATTTATACACTATTTTGCCATTTATCTGACAGTTTTATCCAAAACAACTTAAACGTAGCAGTAACCCAACGTGAAGTGGTTTCACATCATTTATGGATCAACTCGTGCAGGGCTTGAACCTACAACCTCTGGCTCACCAGCCCAGATATTTCACCATTCATCTCACCGTGGCTTTTCATGAAGTGCATGATGCCGGTCATGATTATTTACTGACTGTGACTTTTCATTTCCTCTAGTAGGCTAGTCTCTGAGATGAAATGTCAGGATTCAGCATTATGAAAGTGTTGCAGCCTAGTCTCAGTTTAGCTCAAAAATACACTTGGTAATTTAGTCCATTAATGCATTTCATGCAAGCACACTGTAAATCTATTAACAGCAGCAATGACATGTTACTCAATAACAATCTAAACTTGCATAATAACCCTCTAGATCTACAAAAACGAGTACTGGGAAGAATCTAAAACACTGTCAAATTTGACAGTTTTTAGTGTATGTGGCTTTATACTGCACTCTGTTGCACGCCAACAGGAAAGCCAGCTTTAATGGAAATAGCCTACACCGCAGTAATAAATCCAGTTTTACATCACATTGTTACACAACACAATCAAACCTCACATTTCACACTAGTTGTGCGTTTATTTACCTTTTCGCGTCTTGTTCCTTGTTTCTCCATCCTGTCCTACTTTAGTATCCAACTGTTTCAAACTTGCATCCCATGATACTTCACACGCTCCGAATCCATGAGAAAAAGAAGCCTGGTTTCCCCGAATAAAGCGTCTTCAGATTCAGACTCAGATCGCGTGTTGATGCAGAAATGAAGTCACGCGCGGTACTCGCAGGAACGCTCAGCAGCTCTTCAGAAAACTGCTATTCCAGAGGAAAGTTCGCCATGTTTTTCTTCTCTCGTCCCGGTATTAAGAGGCGGTTCAGATGCTTTCAGTAGTTCAGGGCTTCAGTTACTATTTATGACATCAGACGGGAGTTGAGTTACTTACTGCGACTAGTTACTATAGGCCTGCATCACTAGATGTAACATTACTGCACTTCTCAGGCTGGGGCATCTTTCTTAACTTTCAGTCTGTGAAATTATTGTTTGACAAAATATTTTCTAACTCTGACGATGTAAACATTTACTGACCATTAAATGACAGTCCGTTTACAACAGCGCAGCTATAGTTAAAATGTTATTATAAATAATATTATATTAATAATTAATTATTATTATTTAAAATATGTATTTTTCCTTTACAAAAATACTCTAGGCATTACCATGCTAAAGTGATGATAATATGACAGTTCTCGGTTTGTCTGTGGTACTGACTGATTAAAACAAATGTAGGCCTACCAATTATAGCATGCAGCTAATTCACCATTTACAAACAATAAATAAATAAGGTTGTAGAACTTTGTAAGTACTGGCCTCTGGACATAAACATGATCAACTCATATAAAGACATATTTATTAATTAAGTTACATGTTATTTACAAGTGTACATACATTTACAACGCTCGCTTGCAATTCAGATATAGGCTAGTGCAATATTTGGTAGGCTAATAGAGACCAAAACAAATCGTAACAACATATCGTGACATTTTCAGCGCATGCGCAGTTGCATCCTGTTTTACCTGAGGAGAAGAAGCGGGAAATGCACCTCAGGAGAAAAAGTATAGCGGAAAACAGATTTTGGGGTATGAAAATGATTTTGAGATGTCCAATACTGCTGTAGTACAGGGTCAGTTTCATCCAGTTCTTTGGACAAGATTTTTTGGACGAGTCTGAGAAAGCAACATGTATCAGTAGATGGCAGCGAAAAATCATGCACAGATTAACCCAAAACCTGCCTACATGTTCTTTACTTGCTTAAAAGGAATAGTTCTCCTAAAAGTGAAATTAGCTGAAAATGTACTCACCCTCAGATCCTCTGCAGTGAATGGGTGCCGAGTTACCAGCCCAGCTATTTAACCATAATGTCTATACCAACCCTTTTCCATTGATGCAGTTCTCAGACTGTGATAGGGTGAAGCAGGATTGTGATACGAAATCCATCAACAGCGAATGTACAGGGTCAGTTTCATCCAGTTCTTTGGACAAGATTTTTTGGACGAGTCTGAGAAAGCAGCATGTATCAGTAGATGGCAGCGAAAAATCATGCACAGATTAACCCAAAACCTGCCTACATGTTCTTTACTTGCTTAAAAGGAATAGTTCTCCTAAAAGTGAAATTAGCTGAAAATGTACTCACCCTCAGATCCTCTGCAGTGAATGGGTGCCGTCAGAGTCCAAACAGCTGATGAAAACATCACAATAATCCACAAGTAATCTACACCACTCCAGTCCATCAAATAGCATCTTGTGAAATGAAAAGCTGTGTTTGTAATAAACAAATGAATCAAGGCGTTTTAGCTTTAAACCATTGCTTCTGGCCAAAATGGGAGTCCATAATTCATAACAATGCTTTCTCCCCATTGTCTGCTCACATCAAAATCCACCAACATGTTGTTTAGAGCGGTTTTTGCTTGTAAACTGTGCAGATTTCTCTACTGATGCAAACTTTTCTCCACTGGAGAAAGCAGTGTTATGGATAAAAGACTTGTTTGAAGTTAAAAATGTCTTGATGGATTTGTTTTTTTACAAACAAAGCTTTTGGCTTCACAAGATGTTAATTTTTGGACTGGAGTGGTGTGGATTACTGTGATGTTTTTAATCAGCTGTTTGGACTCATTCTGACGGCACCCATTCGCTGCAGAGGATCAATTGGTGAGCAAGTGATGCAATGCTACATTTCTCTAAATCTGTTCTAATGAAGATACAAACACATCTACATCTTGGATGGCCTGAAGGTGACAAATTTAAGCAAATTTTCATTTGAGTGAAATATTTGCACCTCCCTAATAGAGACATGGTGTTAAAATTTGGGTGGATATATTGAATGTGCATTCACCTGGCAGTACAGTTACAGTGGTAAAGGGTTCTCATGCCAGAGTTTCGTAAACCGAATTTCTTCTGTAAAGCAGGGATCTGTAGATGGCATGAATCCAGGTCTCTGTAGAGCTCACACATCTCAAACTTGCCTATGCCAAACAACATTTTTTTAAAAAGTGAAGCTTTTACAAGATTGTCAGTTTGCTCGATTTACAACAGATCTGATAAGAGTAATATTTAGCCCACCTTTTTGTGGGCTGTCTGTTATATTTGGTGCTACTGTTGGAAGTACGGAAGCTTCAGATTTCCGGGACAGCAGTGTTGTAACAGATGGCCCTGGTGATGTTGAAACTGGACTCGGTTCTTCACTGCCGCTCTTGGAAGCTTGTATAGTAAGTGATTCGTCTGTGTTTTTGGTGACCTGGTTTTGTCCCAGAGTGATTGCTTGGTGAAAACTCGTTTCCAGCATCTCCATGTCTTGGTCTGGGAGTGTGTCAGTGTAGTTTGCTGCGTATTTTACCACAGCATATTGAGCAAGTTCATAAATTGCACACCTGCCAATGAGAAAACCAACAAGGTTCTGTAACTGTGTACACAACATTATGTGTTCAGAGATTACAGAATGTACAAATCTCACTAAAGTGCCAAGTTTTCAAATAGAACAATTTCCAAAGTTCAACAAGGTTTTTCCTTGTTTTGTGTATGACATTTAAAGGATATAAACGATTGCATTTTGACCCAAAATTTAAATTCTGACATTATTCACCAAATCTTTTTATATATACATATATATAATTTTTTTTATTTTTATAAAATTTTATTTTTAAATTTGAAGTGCGTGTGACCTTTCTCACAATTCTGACTTATTTTTTTCCACAGAATTGTGAGATATAAACTCGCAATTGCAAGTTAAAGTCCAATTTTGAAAGGGGAAAAAAAGACCGTTCCCAGAATTGCGAGTTTATATCTAAAAAAAAAAAAAAAAAGTCTAAAGTCGCAATTACCTCATTTATTTATTCAGTGGCGGAAACGGAAAAGTGACAGTAAACACATTTCTAACATTACAAGATATTTTTATTTTAAATAAATGCTGTTCTTTTGGACTTTATTCATCAGTAAATCCTGGAATAAAATGTGGCAGTTTTCACAAAAATATGAAGCAGCACAACGGTTTTCAACATTGATAATAATCATAAATGTTTTTGTGCAGCATATTAGAATGATTTCTGAACGATCATGTGACATGGAACACTGGAGTAATGATGCTGAAAATTCAGCTTTGATCACAGAAATAAATTACATTAAGATATATTCAAATAGAAAACAGTTATTTTAAATTGTAAAAATATTTCATAATTGTACTGCTTTTACTGTATTTTTAATCAAATAAATGCAGCCTTGGGGAGCAGAATAGACTTCTTTTTGGTTAAAATAATTTTGTGTTCAAGGTCTTGTTTTACCTTTATTGCTTTTATTTTCTGAAAAGTGAGAATGTTTTGCAACAGAAAAGAGCCGAGTCAAATGAAACTGGATACATACATGCCCCACCATGTTCTCTTGGCACACTGCATCCGCTGAGAGAACTCAAAGCAGCGCATCTTTAGCACATTGAAGTATCCGTAGCCCACAAGGTTGGACATGGTATTATTAACACCCAGGAGACAGCGGCGGAACCTGAATGGATATCACAAGGCCTGATCACAATGTCATAAGATACAGTAATCAGAGATGCTCGCTCAGTGAAATAACTCTGGTTATGTTGGACATGTCTCATGTTACACAACTGAACACTATGGAATGAATGTTCAGTGCTGGAATACTCAACAGGAAAGTGATGCTCACATACCTGTTGTCACAGTCACAGTGTGATAAAGTGAAGATGTTGGTGTTAAAGACACCATGGTCGTATGAAAAAGAAGCAATGGTGTCTTTACAGTGGTCGTGTTCTCTGCAGCATTTATCAGTATCTTCAAAGGCACCTGCAGAAGACAAGAAAACGGGTCAAGATTTTTTATATTTAATTTGAGTTAATTACGGTCACTGTTCGCTACTGTGAAGAGCACAGAGCGAGGAACGAGGAGAGGCAGAGTCAAATTCAAACTTATTGACTTTAATAATATCCAGGGAAACAGGAAAACACACGTAGCAAGGGTTGACATCAAACATACCAGACAAGGGAGAAGAGAACGAGTTAGAACTCAAATAGGGCAGATAACGAGGGGCAAACAGGTGGAGAGGATAACTAATAATGAGAAACACCTGGAACTAAGAACTAAATGGGGACAGGAACAGGAAAGACCTAATAAGGACAAACAGGAACTAAACGGGAACATACACATGACATTTACATTAACTAGTTTAATTTACATGTGCAATTTACATGTTACATATAGCTTTATGTAAATATTTTTACCATACATTTAATTTTATTTTAATGTACATTGGGGTCCAAAAGTCTACTAGTGAAAATGCTTCTGTTTTCAATGTCATCTCAGTCCTTTCTCAGACCAATTCTTATATATAAAAAAATTATAATAATTTATCATTTTAAGTTTTATATATATATATATATATATATATATAATTTAAAATATAAATAATAAAAAAAAATACTAATAATTTAATAATATATAAATTGATTGATATAATCCAACTTACCCAGGTCAGCAAAGGCCATAGCCTTATTTCCTGAGCCACACCACAGAGTGCCTGGAATCATCCATGCTCGTTTTGAGCGGTGCAGTGTCTGCATGGAACTTTCTCCACTGTCCTGGTGCACGAATCCATCAGGTCCAACACTCCTCAGGTCTCTGGCCCTCCGTACAGATGCTGTAAATTCCTCCGTAATGCCTGCAGCCTCACAGGGGCCATGAGGATCAATCAGCTCACTGATGTCAAAGCGTTCATCAAGCATCTTTGAGAAAGAACTGTCTTCCCAGCACCTGGACAGGTAACTGTCAATCACAGATTGCTCATCACTTGTTATGCAGGTAAAAAGGCTGTTGTTTTTGTTCCAGATGCTGTCATACAAGAGAAGAGACGTCTGAGTCCTTCGGAGAAATGCATATTGTGTTTGCCCACCTGAAGTGGATCTAGTCCAAGAGCAGAAAGTGCTGCTTTTCTCAGAATTGTCAGCACTGAAACAAGCATGAAACAGCATGAAAAGGTATAAAACTGCCTGTAAAAGGTGATTGCTTTGCATTTTTGTTTCCGCAAAAGGAATAATTGTACAACACTTTTGTGTGTTTTTTAGAATGAATGAATGAATAGCCAGAGGTGCTGAAGGATAACGGGTTTTAATCCCTCATCTCTGGCAAAGAGCGCGCCTCAACCCCTTCTTATTTATACTCCGATCCGTATGTGGGATTTTCCTTGCATTGTGGCTCGTGGCCACATCAGAGCAGACGGGGTGGGATGACACAAGGGGGTGTGTCTTTGGTAAATACAGACTTGGAAGCACAGATGTCTGCACACACGTACATAAAAGATGTAAATCAGATTGTAAATCCTCCCCGTTTCCTGGGCTCACATTAGTATAATTATCTCTCCGGCTGATCACTATCATTTTTTATTAGTGTCAACAATGCCCTCAGCAGTAAACATTTAATATCTTATTACTCATGATGAAATTATTCTTTACAACATGACAAAAAGATTCAAATTCCACGTGGGAGGAGAAAGAAACATGTGATCTAAAACTATTACATTTCTGTGTTCAGGTTAATTTAGGTCAGCATTTTTATTTTGTGCATTAATATATTCCATTTTTATTAAAAATCATCAAGTGCTTATTTATTTAGCCTGCTGTCTACACAAATCGTATTTTGCATTTATTTACGTATTTATGCAAAATAAGTCCCTAAAATAATTACTTAGTTGGATTTTTATTGCATATTAATAACAAACATATTCCTTATGGGCAATTCCTTTCTCTCGGTGAAACTGCAGCTGTCACAAAAATCGTAAAGAAAAAATGAGTTTTGGTTCCTCATTTTTTCATTCTGCTGACTTAATGTCCAGAATATTTCACGTGTCATAACGTCGAGTTGCATTTTAAAAAATTTAAAAAATACTTCAACCAGACGAAATAAATTTGATATCAGATTTTCCACTTTGATAAAAGTAGAGAAAGTGCAAAAGTTTCTCTTCAGAAGGCGGTCTGTGTGTCTTTGATCTGAAATGCTCATATCAGCAAGTTTCAGATTAATATTGCATTTTAAATCATGTATTGTCTTTTCAGTTCCTAGCAAAGTTACCAGCCATCTGGCCAATTTATATGCCAATCTTTATTTCCATCTGGGACTTGGCAAGTATTAATTTTGAACCCATTTACATTGCTGCAGGAGGCTGCAGTGTTTACATGAGGATGCAAAGGTCACATGATTTTGTTGTACGTGTCCGCCCGCGCTGATTGGAGCAGACCTCGCCTGATTCGCACAAAGTTTCTGCCCTGTCACCATTGGATGCGGTCCTAATCAGTTAACCATTACAGCACTTTTATTGCTGGTACTTCCGCCAGTAAATGTAATTCTAACATCTGTCAAATGAGGAAAAACACAAGCTTGAGGAAACTAAAGAAAATTACAAGATCGCTATCAAATGAGAAGCTAAAAACGTTTGCTTTCAGCAATTCCTTTACTAAAAGGTAGAATGCTCTCAGAGGAATACTTGTACTGACTCTTAGCTCAATTTGGAATAATTGCAATTATGCCATTACAGTCAAAACCCTGGTGAGCTGGAATTTTTTCTTTCTTCAATGCAGGGTAATGGATATTCATTTAAAACAGCCTTAAGAAAGACACATGGAAAATAGACTCATTCTGAATATGAGAAACGAGTTAGCATAATATGTTGAGTGAGGTTATTTTTATGCTATTGAAAGTGATGTGTGTTATTTCTGCACCATTATCGCCCGCAACAAGAATTAAAAAAAATAATGTTTTCCTACAGATTTCCCAAAAACTCCCTTTATCTGGCATTGCCGGTCAGTCAAACAGATAACCCTGCCCTCAATATTACACCATCGGTTGAGTCAGTGTTGCTGTATCAACCAACAAAGAGGTTTAAAGAAACAGAACTATGTTTTGATAGTGCCATAGACTGTCAATGTTTACATTTTCAGGTAAACCAACCCACTTACAGAAAACTTTGTCATAAAAATGACCTTATACAGTGCTGCAGTGATGACGTATAGGATTTTTTCCATTGGCTTTTGGATTATTGCAGAAAATAAGCTCTGTGATGAACAAAACTTTATGATTCTTACATATGTTGTTCAACATGATAGTCATCACAAATTAACATAATTTCTATGATTTTTGAAGCGTAAATACAGTTGCCCGAAGTAGAAAGCTAGATGTAGGCTATAAACGAACTACACGACTTCAGTGTCACCTCACCACCATTAACTCTTTGTCTTTATGTAAATACTTTTTCTCTAAAAGTTTGAGTTCGAATAGTTTGCAAGAGCAAGATTATAACTGCAAAAGCGGTCAGACCATAGTTTCAGTAGTCGTGTCAAAGCAGTAACTAAATCAGCATACTATCATCTCAAAAACATTGCAATAATTAGATGTTTTGTTTCCAGTCCAGACTTGGAGAAACTTGTTCATGAATTTATCACCAGCAGGGTGGACTATTGTAATGGTCTCCTCACCGGCCTTCCCAAGAAGACCATTAGACAGCTGCAGCTCATCCAGAACGCTGCTGCCAGAATTCTGACTAGAAGCAGAAAATCTGAGCATATTACACCAGTCCTCAGGTCCTTACACTGGCTTCCAGTTATATTTAGGATTAATTTTAAAGTATTATTACTTGTTAATAAATCACTCAATAGCATAGGATCCTGAATACATTGCAGATATGTTCACTGATTATAAACCTAACAGACCACTCAGATCATTAGGATCGAGTCAGAAATACCAAGGGTTCACACAAAACAAGGGGAGTCCGCTTTTAGCTGTTATGCCACCTGCGTTTGGAACCAGCTTCCAGAAGAGATCAGATGTGCTAAAACAGTAGCCATATTTAAATCCAGACTCAAAACACGTGTTGAAGCTGTGCATTTACTGAATGAGCACTGTGCTACCTCTGAACTGATTGCACTGTATTTGATGTATCATCATCTTTTATTCCTAACTGTTTTAATTCATTTAAATCAATTTTTAAATCATTTTAAAATGTTAATTCCTTGCTTTTATTGTTGTGATTATTTTTATGTTTATTTTAATTCCTTTTATGTTAAGCATTTTGAATTACCAATGTGTATGAAATGTGCTATATTAATAAACTTGCCTTGTAGACGGTTAATGTCCCGAGAACCTCTGTAGTCCCATTTAGACACTTGTTAGCAACTGCCTTTCTTAAGACTAGTAAAAGCTTTTAAAAAAATAACAAGTGGGTATTACTGATGTATTTTATGTCATGGAATAAATCATGAAAATATCTCGAGCTTGTGTTCACTGCAGAGCTTATTTAAGGCATTTAACTAAAAACCCCATTGACTTCAAGGCAATGGAATCAGAAGTACTAAAATGCAAAACTGTTTCTGGGCTTTTGCCTACAAAAATATGCCATCAGCACTCTATTAAGTCATGGTTTAAAAAAAACAACAACAAGCAAGACCAATTACACTGTAAAAAAAAAAATTCCGTAAAATTTACGGTAAAAAAACGGCAGCTGTGGTTGCCGGAATTTTACCCTAAAATATATGGTAGCAACATTTTAGGTTTTACGGGTTTAACTTAAATTTACAGTTAAATACCGTAATTTCATTAACTGATATAATGTTAATATACCAACCTATTGAAGTACTGAAGTCTGTTTTGTACCTTTGTAATACACTGATAACCACCAAATGCAGGAGGAGATGAGAAAGTAACATGATTAACCAAAACTCATCACAAGCAGCTTTTAAATAATAACATATATAGAAGGTGCACAGCGTCATTCACACAAACACTAAACACCAAACACCATCATGGTAACACACATCAAACTGAAATAAACATTAATTTAACAACATTAGGTGTAACACACAACCCTAATATACAAAGCTGATAAGAAAAAAACCTCAGAAGAAACAGTTATTTCAACAAAAAAAACATCAAACTTAAAATGTAACGCAGGGAATTCTGGGAATGTCAATTTACGGTTATTCACTGTAAATTATACGGTCTTTTTCACTTCCAAAAACGGTATACTACCGTAAAATTTATGTCCAATACATGTAATGTCCAATACAGTTTTTCACCGTATATAGTAGGGGAATTTACCGTTAACCATTTAACAGGATTTTACTGTAGCATTTTTACAGTCTTTTACTGTTAAATTCACGGTCATTTTTTACAGTGCACCCACCGACTTTGGACCTGTAAGTTTAAAATTAGTCAATTTTCATTTTGGTGCCACTATGAGTTCAACATACTTTTCTGCATGTAAAAATACATGCATTTAGGTCTTATATGCAAAAAGCAAAGAAGTGTCCTGTCAGCTTGAAGGGAACATTGGGTTTATCTGTTACATAATGACGTAGGTAAACATGACAGCAATAGATGAAAGACCCAGGAAAGTCTAATTCCTCATCACTGTTCAAAAGTAGAGCTTTGGGAATGATTTTAGAAGAACATGACCTTGAAAGATAGTATACTAACATCAGACACAACACCAAAAACCCAGCCTTCGCATGACACCTCGAACCAGAGACTTAGAGTTCACCTGATGACCTTTGTTCCAGTTTCCAGAAGGCTGTAGAAAGATTAATTAGTTCACGTCACTGATTCATAGGCAACAGCTGAGAACACTTTATTGGGTATTGTGAATTAACAACACCATTTTCATAACTGTAAACATGTTACAGAAATAAATTCAAACAACACAATGATAATAACGTATAATTAGGGAACACGTCCATGATTTCCATGCACATTACAATAGGACATTTCCATATGTAGTTGATGCAATATTGAACTTGGACAACCTGCCATTTACTGGATACAACTCTAATACTTTTCTAAACTGTATAGTCACAATTTATTTTACACACAGTCTTTCTCATCTGTGACATACTGATTGAAACATAAACATAAACGAATAAAAGACATATGCAAGGACAGCGTATATTTCAAATGCCAAACAATAGTGTGTATAATAGCATTTCGCATGCTATTTTACTTAAAGAACTAGTTTTACATGAGTAAAGTCCATTTTTTTCCCCAGTGTCCTTGAGTAGATTTGGTTGCAGGGTTTAATGACTAATATATTTGCGTCACATCCGTATTCATGAGGTTTTGTTCTTTAAGGCATTTACTGAGTGAAAAAATATCATACACTTGTTTTTTTCCCACCAAAAAACAAAGTAACTGGGTTTTCTAGGTTTTTCTCAGTTGGACAACTATAGCTCATCACAGGGTTTCAGGAGAGCAAAGACAAAGAATCGAAAGTATACATTATCAGCAGTTTGAGCTTGGAAGCAAGATTACTTTGTTTGGAAGATGGAACCGTATACTGTCATCTTTGGAGATATGACACCTCAGTCATCAGCCTCAGTGTTGTTTTGATTCAACAGAACATGCCAGCGTTCGATCTTCTTGTCCTTGTTCTTCAGACATTCATACCAGTGCTTCAGACATTCACCCTTAGCGGTGATACCAAGCTGGCATCCACCTGTGCGGAAGAGACACACGAAAAGCTTAAAGGAATAGTTGAACTCACCTTCAGGCCTTCACCTTAAAATGTACTCACCTTCAGGCCATCCAAGATGTAGATGAGTTGGTATCTTCATCAAAACAGATTTGGAGAAATGTAGCATTGCATCACTTGCTCAGCAATGGATGCTCTGCAGTGAATGGGTGCCGTCAGAATGAGAGTCCAAACAGCTGATAAAAACATCACAATAATCCACACCACTCCAGTCCATCAGTTAACATTTTGTGAAATGAAAAGCTGCAGGTTTGTAAGAAACAACTCCATCATTAAGGCTTTTTTAACTTCAAACTGTTGCTTCTGGCCAAAATACGAGTCCATAATCCATAATAACACTTCCTCCAGTGAAAAGGTCATCCCCTGTTGTCCTCTCAAATCAAAATCCACCCCCATATTTGTTTAGAACTGTTGTTTTGGACTGTTTTGGCTTGTAAATGGTGCTTGATCTGTGCATATTTCTCTCCTGATTCAGACCAGATGACTGGATAGAGGACTCGTATTTTGGCCAGAAGCACACATTTGAAGTTAAAAACATCTTAATGATGGATTTGTTTCTTACAAACACGCAGCTTCTGGCTTCACAAGGCGTTAACTGATGGACTGGAGTGGTGTGGATCATTGTGATGTTTTTATCAGCTGTTTGGACTCTCATTCTGACGGCACCCATTCACTGCTGAACAAGTTTCTCCAAATCTGTTCTGATGAAGATACAAACACATCTACACCTTGGATGGCCTGAAGGTGAGCAATTTTTGATTTTTTGGTGAACTATTCCTTTAAATTGACACTTCATTCATTTTTGTCCAAAATAGTATGTTTTGGGTCTTGGGCATTATACACATCACAGATATATATATATATATATATATATATATATATATATATA